GTCTGCAAATCGGAAGCTACTCTTGAGTAGTTAATACTAATTATATTGGTGCGCCCTTACTCAAAGTATTGCCCTATTAATCTAAACGTTACAATATTAGGTTTGGCAGTTCCTACATTCGAGTGAAACTAACTTTGGTCAAGGGGTTAGCGTCAAAGACCCAATCACAATCTGCTGTGAGCTTCCCCAATTCATCCAGTCTCTTGTTATTACCATTTTATCATGTACTTTTGCCTATACACCATCTGACCGAGAACGTAAGTCAGTCCACCTGGACAGGGAAATGTTAGACCATTTTTGAAGAGTAAGGGGGCTTGCCTGATTTTATTATTTTGCTACAAAACCCAAATAATGGCGTAAAATATTTCGTAATCAACACCGGTAAAACATGGGGATAAGGAGCCCACTCCCCCCCAAAAAAAATGCTAGCAGTGTTGCGCTAAATTATCACGAAGGATACCTAACCCCGTGTTGTTACTCAACTCCAACATTAAGCGTAAGGTCACCTGTATTACGGAAGTTCCCTATACCAGTGTCTTGCCCCGATACCGACGCTAGCGGTTACGCTGTGAGCCAGTACAGTGTGCTCCAGCACGATCAGACAGGTAGAAAGATGCCAGTCTACTTGCCAAAAATTGCCCTAAATCACAGCATGCCCATCAGAACCTACGAGTACAAACTATTCTTCCATTCAATTAAGGGGTTTAATGATCACCGAGCATAAATACTGAGAGAAGGTTCAAGTACCTATTTAATATTTTGTGCCTGGATATCCTCCTTAATTCGGCCTATTTCTCAGATACCTGGGTGTCACTCTGTCTACCGATCTCTCATTCTCGTTTAATTTCAATCTTCGTTAACGACATTCGCGAACTGGTCAACTACATTTGAGGTTGGCTCCCTTGACTTATTTCTCAGTTATTTTTCTTTCTCCTTTTTCAATGGCTTCCTGTTATCCTCCCTGATTTATTAAAGCACATATGCTTTGCATGATTTTTCCACTTTCTGTATTTTATTCGTTTGTACAACCGTAGAACAATCTTCCAACCGAGGGTAGCCCCTACGGTTTATCTGTCGTTAGGTTTACGAGTACTTGACTTTCGTCAGTGCTTCATGTAGGCACTAATCGCCCTGGGAATCTTGCATATGATTGTTGTCAGGGGCTAATTCACTAGAGCAAACTAGAGCTGCTAGCGCACGGCTAGGCAGAGGCTAGTACAACGTGACCAGGATTGATAAGTTTGTCAACCCCATCCAATTTATTACGAAAAATTGCAACACCTAAGGTTATTCTTGTTTGCTTCACTGTATTTTGGCGTATCAAGGACCCGATCAATCACCTCTGGTATGTAATGAGTCCCTAGCACAATGGCCATACCACTTCGTGTTAATCGTGACTTTTGTCTTGACACCGGGTCCCGGTGTGGGAGTAGTGAGAGAGTGTGGTAGATTCTCCGCAAGTCTACTTTCATTATAATCCCACGGAAGTCACTGCGTTGCTTCAGCTTTCTGAGGCTTGTGGGAAAATCGTCGAGCGCGACGGTCGAACTCTCAGTA